AAATGAAATATCTACAAAAAACTAAAACTCAGTCAAAAAAACCTAGCCCAATCAAAAAAAGGAGGGGCACAGGGACTAAACAGGCACTTTTGCAAAGATGTCCAATAGGCATATGAAAAATGTTCATCAGTTTTTGTCAGGAAAATGCAATACAAAACCACAATGAGATACCACCTTGTACCTGTGAGAACGGCCCATGTTACAAACACCCAAAACATTAAGTGCTGGCAAAAATGTGGAGAAAAGGGAACCCTTCTACACTGTTGGTGTGTAGACTGGTCCAGTTCCTATGGAAAGCCATGTGGAACTTTCTCAATAGATTAAAAATGGATCTGCCAAATGACCCAGAAATTTCAGTCCTAGGTATCTAACCCCCAAGTTAAAAAAATATTAATTTGAAAGGAAATTTGCAATTCCACGTTTATTGCAGCACTATTTACAATAGCCAAGCTATAGAAACAACCTAAGTACCCTAAAACAGATAATGGATCAAGAAGATGTGGAATGTTACTTAGTGATCAAAAAACATAAACTCTTGCCATTTGCAGCAACATGGATGGAACTGGAAGGGATTATGCTAAATGAAGTTAAGGAGAAAGACAAATACTGGATGGCCTCACTGACATGGAAGATAGAGAAACCAAAAAATCACATAAAGATAGCTTAAAAGTTGACTACTAAAAGCTGACTTAGAACCTTAGGCATTAAGAGGGGTAGGACGGGAGGGATGGGCACAATGGACTGTGCTACTTTGGTGGTGGGTGCTATGGTAATTACACCTGAAGTGGAGGCAGTTCTGTACTTGCAAAATACCAACACAGTGTAAACCAATGTTATCTTAATATTAAAGGAAAAAAAAAAAAGCCTTGTAGACTTATTCACCCCTGGGACCCAGTGCAGTAACACTATCTATACAGTGCCAGACCCATAAGTAAATGAAACTCATTTACTTATGAAACCATTTTTACAGTGTCTGCCAGAGAAGCAAGAAACTTTAGGAATGACCCCCAAATTGGAATCACTGGGAGGCACCATCTTAGAACCCACCCTCTATATACTAGACCCTGACAAGGGCTCCAATATATAGACCCAGACAAGGGCTCCAATCACTCCTGCAAAGTTGCCCAAGCTAGCAGAGAGCAAAATTACAGCAACTGAGAAGGCCAACCCTGGGTAAATAAACAGGCCTTTCCCTGTTTAGTCACATTCATAGCAAGCAGGTCCAATATACCATTAAATGAGCACCATAAAAGCATGTGTCAGCAGCTCCATTTGCCTGCCATATATTGCCACATACCACTACAGGGACTGGAGTCATCCCATAATGAACTCATGCCAAAGCCTAATCCACAGCACCATCCACTCAGCACACCATATTTGAGGACCTAGGCCAAGCCCAACTGATATGTCATAGAAAGCTCTGCCCACTGTGTTGCCCCAGTAGAGCAGGCAGGTCAGAATAGCCCACAAAGGAGACACATTGAGTGAGTAGCTCAAGAAAGCAGGAACTGTGCTCCTGGAACTGTAACATCAGACCAACATCACGACTAGGCTGGGTAGTATAGTTTCCTAAAACACACGAATACCACAGAGAGTCAAGCAAAATGTGGAAACAGCAGAAAATGCCCTAAATAAGAGAGGTAGACAAAACTCTGGAAAAGACCCTAAAGAAATGGAAGTAAGCGATCACCTGATACAGAGTACAGAGTAATGGTTATAAAGATGTTCCCCAACCATGGGAAAAAAATGAATGAACTAGAAAAATGATGAAAGGTTAATATAGAAAGAAGTCAGAGAGCTAAAGAATATAGTGATAGAACTTAAAATCAGTAGAGGCATCCAATAGCAGACTGGAATCAGAGGAGCAAATAAGTGAGTTGGTAGAGAAAGCAATACAACTCACTTAGATAGGGTATCAGTATGAGAAAAAGAATTTTAAAAAGTGAGGGAACTCTAAGAGGCATCTCGGACAACATTAAGAGGTATTCCTCTTGGGCCTCCCCAGTGGCGCAGTGGTTGAGCGCTGGGTTGCGAAGCTGCCCGCGGCCTCTGTCGCGCCGGTTCCATCCCCAGCTGCTCCCTGGCCACCGGAGGAGGGTCCCACATGGCGCACAGACCTCTCCTGCAGCCCGCTGCTCCCCTCAGCAGTGTACTTCGGTCCTTCTGCCTGCTCTGCCTCCCGCTCTGGCTCTGGTGAATTCTCTCACCCTCCCGTGCTTCTGACTGTACCCAGTGCATGTATAAAGAAACAAAACAAACAAACAAATAAATAAATAAAAACATGCCTCTATAAAAAAAATTAAAAAAAAAATTAAAAAAAAAAAGAGGTATTCCTCTTTATTAGCATCATAGGGGTGCCAGAAGAAGAAAGGGCCAGAAAAAAGTATTAGAGAAAATAATCACCAAAAACTTCCATAAGGAAGGAAGGAAGGAAGGAAGACAGAAATTCAGATACAGGAATTCAGAGAGTTTCAAATAAAAGGAACCCAAGAGATCCCCATCAAGACACATAATTAAAATGGTAAAAATTAATGATGAGACGATGTTAAAAACAGCAGGAGAAAAACAGTGTGTCACAAATAAGGGAAGCCCCATAAAGCTACCAACAGATTTTTCAATAGAAACTTTACAGACCACAATAAAATGGGATGAGAAAATCAAATTGCTGAAAGGAAAAAAGTTTCAACCAAAAATTCTGCAACTGGCAAGATTGTGATTAGTGATAGTTTTGAGGAAGAAATCAAGAGCTTTCTAGACAAACTAAAGCTAAAGGAATTCGATACCAAATGGCATTGAAGAAGATATATATATTTTTAAGATTTATTTATTTCTGCATACAAGAACTGGGGTATAAACCAGAGGTGTTGGGGTGGGGGGTGAGAGGATTCACCAGAAACAGAGTGGGGACCAGAACAGGCAGACTGACGAAATACACTGCTGAGGGGAGCAGTGGGTGAGACAGGAGAGGCCTGCTGCACCATGTGGGTTGCTCCCTGGCCGGGGATCAAACTCGTGGTGCAGTGGCTGCAGATAGCTTCATAGGCTGTGTCTTAACCCCTTGCGGATGAAGAAAATATTAAAGGGACGTCTTTAAACTGAAAAGACTGGAAACTAAAACAATAAAACATGAGAAATCATCTTATTGGAAAATATAAATTCACAGTAAAAGTAGTAGAGCAGTCATTTCTAAAACAAGAAAGATATTAAGACAATACTAAAATTAAAGCTACAATTAAGGGAATTATTGGGTTATCAGAAAAGTCATGACACATTTTTGCTTGAAAAAATATATCATGACTTTTTTCAACAAACCAATTTATAGCATAACAATGTAAAGTGAGATATTAATATAAAAAATGGGGAGGGAATAAAGATGAGGTTTAGCTATGTGTTCAGATATAATAACCATCATCTCTAAAAGGAACAATATATACATAAAATGTTACAGCTGAACCTCACAGTAACCATAAAGCAAAAATGTATAGTAAAAACACCACTGAAGAAAGCTATCATACCTCAAGAGAACAGAAAACAGTAAGAAAGGAACAGAAAAGAACTATAAAAGCAACCCGAATTTATTGCCATAATGTTATCTTAGTAGTAAAGGCAGGGTATAGGGCAACTAAAGAAAATTTCTATAAAAATTACTATGAATTAACCTCTGACCGTGTTTTCCTAAATGGCAAGAGGGATGGAGATAGAAGACATTTGTATTCCCATAATGTAACCCCATAATTCCTATTAACATGGTTTGGTTTCATCATTTAGTTAAAAGTGACCTCATAACATGAAAATTGTAGCTACCTTACAGAGCTGAGGTAAGGATTAAATGTGTTAATATTTGTAAATTAGATTAGTGCTTGACCCATAGAAAGCATTCCATAAGAAACTACTATTGTTGTTATTAGAATGTATGTAAATATCCTTCACCAGTAACAAGAGAGTGATAGTTCAACTAAAATTATTCTTATCTAATATATTAATGGTGAATATTAAAAAGAATATACACTAGGAATGGAGCTTTGAAAGTAGCCTATTACTCACTTAGTCTCCATCTATTTGAAACCCTTTGAGGGTGGGGAAAAAGATGGAATCATCTTTGTGGTAAGTAATTGTCACCTCTCTAATCAGAGTGAGAGCTGCCCTGATGGTATGGCATTTGAGTCATTTTTAAGACGGGCATCTCTGGTGGTGGTGTTAGAAAGGCGCGCTTAGTGCCTGGTTGCAAATAGTATTACAGAAACGAAGCATAGGATGGGCTATCACTGGAGAGGATTGTATGTTTTTCAGGCAACTTACAAAGTTTGTGTTCCACAAAGAAATGAATTGTTATAATTCTGAAGGTCCTTTATCTAACCTAGGAATAGGAAATACTAGGAAGAATAGGATTGGAGTATCTAGACAGCAATTTTTCCAGGATTAGTCACATTCAATAAACTGAGTTTAGAAAAAGGGTAAGTTTTTTAAAATTATCAATTTCTATATTAAAAAGTTTTAAATAGACCTCAATTTAAGCTTCTGATTTATCTTCTATGGAAGACTATACGTAAATGGTTCTAGTGACTTCTAATTGAAACAGACTACCCATCAAACCTAAGATTTCATGTGAAATATTTTGTCTGATATAGGAGAGAATTCTTTTGAGAAATGACATGTCTGTGTACATGTATAAAGGATTACATGAGTTCCTGTGTTGGTTAATTTTAATAATAGCACTGATGATAAACAAATTTCCTCAAAATCTTATGAAAAGAATGTTCTTTTCACTTTTTACTAAATGGTGATTAGAGTAATCACTGATTAACAATTTTCATAGTAACATAACTTAAGTATCCATATTATACTATTTACTCAGGCTCAATTCTTATTATTTTTAAAAAGACACTGTCTTTACAAAGAAAACAATTCAAATTAACCAACCGTGCCCTACAAACACAAGTAGAAATGATACTGAATAAGTATTGATTAAAACAAAAAAGCACTTAAAAAAAACAGCTTACCAACTCCAGAGGTTATTGATTCTGCATCAATGTCACTAGCTCTTTTTCTTGCCACTTCAGCCAGTGCCAATTCACCCTTATCTAGTGCAAGGTAATGGATATCCTTTGGAAATAAAGCAAAATAAAAGATTAATCCAAAATGAATCTTGCTCAACTTACAAAGGAGAATTTGAAAGAAAGCAACTTATTGTTCAGATTACAAAACAGACATGGCTGATGAATATTCGTTTTGTGTTTTTACTTTCTCAGTTTTGTTTTCCTAAATTGGAGCTCATAGACGTAACAAATGGATCTAAATAAATTCTATTATATATTTAGGGAAAAGTATAAGTTTTTAATCAAATGTTTGACATACTCAGCTTTATTAGAGAATAAAAACATGAATTGCTATTTTCTGTAGTGAGATTTTAATATTTGAGGAGCTTTTGCGTATTTCTATCATACCTTATATTATGCTAAATATTTTAGAAGGAACATATGACACAGATTTGTCTCTGATATTTATATGCCTGTCACATTATTTTGTTAATATTTTAATGCTATTAATATTTTGATCTTATTCAGCCAACAAATAATCAGTGCCTATTAAGTTCCAGGCACTGTTCTGGATTAGATCGACTGCCTACCATGTCTTAAGAAGCCTTGAGCCCAGTGGGGCTGCTGTAAATTTACAGTTAATTACATACCAGTATGACATAGCTTTTATGGCAGTTATTGCACATAGTACTGGGGAGCCAAAGAGGAGCAATTGATCCTTGATCTGAATTGTTCATACTAAGAATTATGGTTGGAGGGAAAATGTAGAAAAGGTGACAGAGTATGAGTGATCTCTGATGTGTATATGTAGAGAAGCTTAAGAAAATGTAGTTCTATCAGGCAATGGTAGGTTTTCAAATGGATGGAGCGTTGGCTTTGTGGGAGAAAGCAGTGAAAAATAATATTTAACAAGTAGATAAAGCCACTGAAAAAAAAACACAGAACTCTATGGTAATGCAGAATGACTGTTGGAATGAAAATTTTACTACAATAAAATTGGGAAAAGAACACAAATATTCAATTTATAGTGAAGAAATATCAATGACCCATAACATAAAACATACTTCACTTTATTAATATCCTAATAAATTCAAATTGAAAAAATAATTTCAAATTGGATAAGTTCTTTAAAGTTATTACTAATTACTGGTTACAAAGTTTGGGGGAAACTGGCACTTAGTGGTTGGAAGAACCATGTTCAACCACTCTTATTAAACTCTGAATGAATGGCTTCATTTTAGCTGCAGACCTGAAAATGTTTCAGCCTAAAATTACAAGGCAAACAGTACTTAAATGTGAAACTTATACCATGATAAAGTCATTTCAATGAGAACCATTGTTTGAATTGCTAGTAATGTCAGACTGTGCTATGTACTTCCAGAATAGTCAGAACTTTTTTTTTTAAAAAGAGAAATCTGTTTCTATACAAATTCCAAGCAATATTTTCTAATTTCAATCCACTGCAGCATTTTTTTAACTTTGATGCAAATGTAAAGGAAATTACATGTTCCAAAATCTATTTACCTGTACAATTGAAGGAACTTTAATTGGAAGTGATTAATTAGCAGCGTAATGACATTCTACTCTTTTAGCTAATGCGATTCTAAAAATGCTCACATAAAACCACATGTACATGAATTAACACCAATATTTGGCAGTTCCTATCTATAAGAAATTTGCAAAGGTGAAATACATCAAATCTCATCATAGATCAGCATTAACATGAACATTTGAAAAAGATGTTGGTAAGGAATACCAACTTTTAACCCTACTTAGTGACATATTATCTTCCCAAAGAATATTATTTGCATTTGTAAGCCAGTTTTATAAAAACTGTATTCAGTTACATTTTTAATTGTATCACAATAAAGATTTGTGGGAAGATGTTTTCTCTCGTTTTATAAAGTACCTTTGTCATAATCTAAATTTTGCCTCTTGGTCCACAAACCTAGAATATTTTCTATCTAGCCTTTACAGAATGTTTGCTGATCACGTATTTTAACAACTTATCATAATTTAGAATTTGCATATATATTTTTGGGAAATCTTCCTGAGGAAACAGTGTGACAATACATGTCCAAGACTGGTATTGACAACATTGCTTATCACAATGGAAAATTAGAAGCAACTTCAATGTACATCAATTGAAAAAATCTTGGGGTTTTTCTCTCTTGGCCCAAGAGAGACATAATACTTTCTTAGAAGATTCTTATAGTCAATGAAGAAAGTAGTAATAATTTGAAAGCATGCACTACTACATTAAATCTGCTAGTATTTTATTTAAGATTTTTGCATCTGTGTTCTTAAATAAACAAAGTCTATGACGTTACTTGGACTTGATAGCTACCAAGCCCCTGACTGCTATCAAATTATATTAGCTTTATAAGTGAGGTGATTTTTCTATTTTCTTTTCTCTAGCAAAGTTTGCATGTAATTCTTCACTGAAAATAACCCCAAAATATGCAATACCACCCATTACTGAAAAACATAAGTAAGCACTAGATTAAAACACAGACTTTTGTGTTTAATTTTTTTTGTAAGATGTATTCAAGTTTTATAGTGTGCTTCAGGCCCTATAAAGCATGACTCTACCCCTGATATCAACCATCAATGTTCTCACATACTAATGGACTGTGTTACTGCATGTTTGGTTGTTTAGTAAAGTTCTTTTTTGGTTTGTTGGCCTCTTTTTGGAAATTTATTGTATAAGATGAAGATGGAATATAACAAGTCTAAAGAGACAACATAGGTGCCAATAGACTTAAAAAGTGTTATACTCATAAATTCCAGTATTTTTTCCACCCAGCCAGATTTACATATTTGGTGGATGGTTATATTACAAAAATATGACTAACTTGGAAGTTAGTTTTCAGAAAAATGAGCCACTTAGTTTCCGTCATTCTTAATGACAATTTTATAAAATATCACTTATCACAATGACATATTAGTATCTTAATTTAGCACTGTTAAGTGAAAAGATGATAAACACTGATAAGTCTTTGGGGATGATCCAGATTTTAAAATGTGTACATATTCTGTCTGCATGTATCATGTAAATTCTAAAATACAAAACTTGCTGTTCTGGGTTCTCATTACCTTTCACAGATGACTTTTAAATGTAGAATGCTAGAATGAATACGCACATTTACAACAAAAAGTATTTAAAACTAAAAAAAATTGAATTATAGATAGTATTCTGTAAGTCACACTTTGGATCAGTCATTGACAATAAATATAACTATTGTATATTAATGTTATATAACCTTTTCTAATTTTTATAAAATTTCTGGGAATTGATAGGTTTGTATGACATAATGGAAGCACTTATAAAGACATGCTATAATTTATACATATTTAGGACAATTATGTCCTCATCCTCTCTCATAATAGTTCGAACAACTGATAATCAAAATTTTAAATTCTTGTCCTATAGCTTTACAAGTTTAAGTCTTGCCCATAATTGCCTTCAGAACATTTAATAACTTCAAGCTGGTTTATTTCAGCTGAAGAGAAAGTATAAAGTGTTAGTACATTTCTTTATCAACTTATTTGAAAATAATATTTACTTTCATAGGAGAAATCTGATAAGAAAATTTAAAAGTTAGGAATAGAAGTGCTTTTTTATAATGTGTTGATATTTTAGACATCTCGTATGTTGTAGATTTCAGGAAAAAAACTTTCAAGAAAAGTATCTTAAGAAATTTATCTCAGTTATACTGAGAGTTTATAAATATAAACCTAAAGTTTATATTTATATACAATTCTTAATATCTATGTTTCACAATCTTAGGTAAGAAAACTGAATAATCATTTTAAAGGTGAAACATAGATAGGGATAATTTAATTTTGCTACCATGTGAAGAATTTCTTTGGAATGATGAATTTTCATGTTTCACTAAGTTTTTGGAAATTTTTTTGTTTTTGAAGTTTTTTGTATAACTGATAAGTAAAACCTAATGTATCCTTTCAGGAGTTATGTTTTTGACTACTGTTCAGATTTTGTACTTGGAGCTACTGAGCTATTCATATATTTAGTATGTCTTTTTTTTTTAGCAATTGATATATTTTCTAGAAAATTATTCATGTTCACTAATTTTTTGTTTATTGTACAAAGTTGCAGATATTTTCATAATTTACAAAAATCTTCTGATCTTTCCATATACTTCTATGGCGTGAGCCCCAGGATATACTGAGTTTTAAAATATAAAGTTGCAAATGTGTTTAGAATGCCACTAAAACCTAAAATGGGTTTAACCTAAAAAAAACCCCACAAGTTATAGATGAATATATATGCATATTCAGTTAGATATTTTCTACAAATGATCGACCAAAAGTGATAACCTAGTGGAAAAGAAGAATATTGTGAAGAAAACAGAGATTGAAAACAACTTCTTTGTACCACTTTTTGATATCTGATTTTGGAAATTTTTTTTATAATTCTGATAAAATTTAAATAAAAAGCATTCTGCAAGCAGTAAAAGGAAAATGAATGAACTTAGTATATTAAATTGGTGGCATAATTACTTGAAAAATTATTTCAAATTACTTTAAAATATACACAGAATAACTGGAAAAGGAAATCTTAGACTGTTTTCATAATTCTATTAGTAGGAATATTTGTATAATTATTCTGTAACCAACTTCTAGGAGAGTATAAAAGAGATGAATAAAATACAAACTGTAAGCCAAATCCTGCCTACAACCATTTTTTTTACAAATAGTTTTATCAGACCAGTCACACTCATTTGTTTACATATGCCTATGTCTGCTTTCAAGTTACAATGGCAGAGTTGATTTGTTGGTGTCACAACTGTATGACCTGCAAAGCTATATATATTCTCTCATCCTTGACAGAAAAGTTTTCCAACCATGTCCTAAAGCTTTTGCAATGGAAAAGTATAATAAACTCAGTAGTTAAAAGAAGCACTTTAGCACTCAGTCTGTGAACTCAAGTGACTTTCTATTAAAACAAATTGAGTTGAATCCAAGTTAGAAGACAAGTTTACAAGGAAGCTGTCAGTTCTACTGAAATCATCCTAATAGTACTAGGGTGCCAACTTGAAGGCA